AATAATAATAATAATAATAATAATAATAATAATAATAATAATAATAAAAGAGGCACCTCCTCTAAAGGGACAAAAAAAGCATCTGAATGGAAATGTTTTTGACATCTGGTGTAAGGTTTAAACAAGTAAATGTAAAAGAGGATTAGAAAGCCATAGATACAGTGGGGCTAGAGGAAGCCAGGAACATGAGAAGACAACAGGCCCCTTCCTCGTCTCTGCTGGACCCCGGGGCTGATCTTCCTTGGTGTGGGAAGATTTCTTCTTTAAAGCAATGGGCATCACATTAGGGACCTGTGGTTTCGCACAGACTCTGAACCAGTGGTCCTCCACCTTCCTGAGGCTGTGACCCTGTACTCCAGTTCCTCACATTGTGGTGACCCCAACCATAAAATTATTTTCATCGCTACTTCATCACTGTAATTTGCTATGGTTCTGAATTGTAATGTAAATACCTGATATGCTGGATATCAGGTATATGTGATTCCCAAAGGGGTCGTGACCCACAGGTTAAGTAAGAACCACTGCTCTAAGCATAAGCATGGGTTAACCTCCACAGCGTCAGACAAGAGTGAAAAGAAACGCCAGTGGCCCACAGACCAGCATGATGGATGTTTTTTACACGGTAGCTATAAAATGTTTTGCTTCCAACAAAATTGTTGAATGACGAGGAACCTTGCCTAGAAGTAACAGGTGATAATCAAAAATTAGCCCTTTTTTGCCGGATAAATTATGCCTTTCAAATTACTTCCAGTTCCTACCAGCCAGTTCATATGAACAAGATGGCATGGGGGGGGGGGTGAACAAGTTTCTTTAGCACAAATAAAATTCAGGTTGAACTCTACCTCACAGAATAGTTCTAAACATCATCCACACGCATTTTTGGATTTGTGGATGAATGGCTTGAGTGACATACGTTTCCAGGACACTTCTATCGTCACAATTAGTAAACACCAATATCTATGATAATGGCAAGGAAACCACATTATAGAAGCAAACCTGAAGTCCCTGAGTAATAATGAAAAATTTAATTTCAGCAACTGTATTTATTTTGTTGTTAAGTAGAAGACACTGAGGATGATAAATCAGAGAACTACCATACATATGTGTGTGTGTAAAAATGAAATAATTATTTGTTGAAAATATTTATGAAATCCTAAATATGTATTTTTCCAATATGGAAGTTCGTGCAAAAGTCTAAGAATCAAACTGATACACAAGAGGGGACGCTATGTCTTAATTTTTATCAGAAGGGTGTAAGCAGAGAGCAATATTGATGACAACATTCAAGAGTAACTTATTGTGATGTGAAACCTCAGCTCTGGGGCCTGGTGGGGGATCCTACAAATGAGGTGTGAGTAGAGAAAGGGCTAGTTTTACCTTTAAATCTGGGAAATAAATATGGACAATAGGTACGTAAGACTTCTTTCTGCCCAGCAATTCATATTAAACATAGGGAAAGAGTTGATTTCAAAAGGATAGAAAAATGATGCGGCAGAATGAGGAAAACATCCAGAAGAGACCATAGCTTCTGGAAAACCAGGCTGCGGCCATGTGACTAAGAGCCCCCAGAGGCACGGAGGGGGTCCACTGAAGTTGAGGAGCGGCCTGCAAAGAGGACTCCAGGGAGGCACAGAGCAATAGAGCACTGGGCCACAGCAAGCTGGAGCCAAGGGCGGGAACAGAGGAGCCAGCGATGGGAATGAACTGAAGGTTACAGAAGTACTTTGACCCAACAGGAGAGCTGGAGAAGGCAAGGGTGCGGCTTCAGTGGGCGGAGGCAGGAAGCGGATGGCTCCCATTGCAGAGGCTTCACTGCGGATGAGGAGCACAGAGCCTCTAGAAAAGGAAGCTGGAAGAGAAGCTGTGTATGAAAAGGTGGCTGGCGTGTGAGAGTCAGGGCCCAGGGAAAGCACAGGCTGAACTAACTACTGATGGAGCCACATCGCTGCCTGCGGCTCCTTTCCCCTGAGGGAACAGGGAAAGAGGGCTCTCTGGAGTCAAGAACACTCTGCCCTGACTTTCCAAGAGGGCCAAGCTTTTGGAATTACAGTCTGGCCCTATATTTTTCAACAAGCTGTTTGATGACAGATTGAGAGCAATTCCTCAAAGATTTACTTCGGTGGGTTACTTGAAACTTGCCTGAATCCTGTAAGGCAAAAGCACGTAAGAGCAACATGTCCGCTTTGTTTACAGTCACTACGACGACGAGTAAGGTGACAATATTGTGTGCAAAGTTTGTTCCTGTCTTTGAGATTGTGTGGGGGCTGGAGAACTGGATAAGAGCGCTTGCTGTCCAAGTCTCAGGATCTGAGTTCAGATCCACGGCACCCACATTAAAAACAAAGCATGCCTGTATTCTCAGTGTAGGAGGGCAGTAACCAGCAAAAGCTGGGGACTCCCCGGGAGTTGAGTTGGCCTAGCCAAAACAGTGAACCAGTGAACAGTAAGCCTCTCTCAAGGCAAGGCTGCAGAGAACAATGAGGAAAGCCAGGCTTCTCTTCTGATCTTACCTGGGCATGCCCATCTGGACACACACATGGCTCACAGAAACATACACCCCATACCTGGCCCCCAACACACACCTAGGGAAATAGAAACCATGAACCTTACAGAAATCCAGAGTAGAAAGTAATCATTCCTTTAATGTTAGAGACTGAAAACTCAACAAGGGAACAAGGGCCTAAGTCACATTGGCGATAGCACTGTAGCAGAGGTGAAGAGGACAGCGGGGGGCCGGTGGAACTCCTGGACTCATCACTTGGCAGACTGTTCGGTGAGAGCTAGTGTCGGGAACAAAATGGTTCTCTGCTAGTGACACCATCACGGGGGGGAGAGAAATGGCCTTTCATTAATGAGAACGCTGAGAGGTTGAAAGAGCATGTCCCCAGCCCTTGACTAACACCTGTCAGATCCTCACGACCAGGTTCTCAGCCGCTGTGCTTATTCCGTGTTGTTTTTACTAAGCCAAACAACTTGTCCTGGGGGATGGTGCTGATGATATAAGAATGAGAAGTTGAAGCTTCCATTTATAGATACATTTAACTACAAGTTAGGTAGCTAGCTGATGGCTAGTAGGAGAAAAAATAGATGTTGCTAAAGATAAAAGGCAGTGTTCTCATTTGGTCTAGCCACAATGGGAACCGGAACAGAGGTTCCTCAAAAGACTAAAAATAAACTCGTTTAATCCAGCCGTAGTACTCCTAGGTGTATATTTAAAGGTCTCTAAGTCAGAACACCATAAAAACACACACCAAGTTTATTGTAGCCGAGTCACAGCCCAGTTGCCCCCAGCAGACCAATGTGTATGATGAAGACTTGAGAAGGGATGTGTCCTGTGTATGGTCTTATCTGTGCACTCTAAGGGGAAAGGGGTGCCATCAAAGTAAAGGGGGCCTAGCGGGAGAAAGGAAGGGATGAGAGAGGGAGGAAATTTAACTGAGGATAGTGGAGGGGTCAGCACATGCGTGAAAATGTCAATGAGATCTATATTTTGTGCAAGTGTTATATGCTATAGAAAGAATGGCAGGATCTTTTAAAAAAAAAACATGTTTCATAATAATAAGAACCAGCTTTCTAGGAAGAAATGACAGTTCTAAATGTATGTGTGCCTAGAAATATAGCTTCAATATACTAAACATAAGTGGGAAAGTTGACTATTCCCCCCTTGAAGCCCTGCCCACTCTTGGGAGGTTTATTTCTTTTAAATTATTTTTATATTCTGAGATTATAATATAATTATACCATTTAAATCTTCCTTTTTTATCACTCCAAACCTTCCCATATCCACCTTTTTTCAAATTCATGGCCTCTTTTTCATTAATTAGTGCCATCTATATGTTTACATACCCATGTATCTATTTTTTTACATTCATGACTACAACCTGCTCAGTCTGTACAATGTCGCTTCTCTCTCCCTCTCTCTCTCTCATACACAAATATATATGTTATATATAACGTACATTATGTGTGTATGTTTCCAGGGTGGTTGTGTTCTTCCCTGGGGAAGACTATTTCTCCCACTCTCAGCATTCCTTAGTTGCCTATAGTCCTTTGTTTAGGATTGAGGCCTCCTGGGATTTTCTTACTTTGCCCTAATAAGTTTCAGTTCTCTTTGTTCGAATAATTGGAAGAGGAGAAGGAGAAGGAGATGGAGACGGAGGAGGAGGAGGAGGAGGAGGAGGAGGAGGAGGAGGAGGAGGAGGAGGAAGAAGAAGAAGAAGAAGAAGAAGAAGAAGAAGAAGAAGAAGAAGAAGAAGAAGAAGAAGAAGAAGAAGGCGGCAGCAATCTGCTTTAACAGATAGGACAGAATACACAGCAGAAGACCTGAACAACAACACAGTTGAACAACAACCAGCCTGATGTAGGTGACATGTCTAGACAGAGCCCCGGCTGCAGAAGACCTGTTGCTCCTAGGTTCCTGTCTGACACTCACCGATGTAATTCACCCAGCATAGCTGCAAGGGCAGACACTTCTCATTGAGCGGGAAGTTGGAAATCTTGGGCGTTAAAATGACTTCCACATTTGCTCATCTTTTCTCAAGAATATCAACCCCCATCCAGCTTCCTCATTATGCACCATTGGGGATAATACCTCTTCAGCCACTTCCCAAATAAAAAAGAGGCTGTGAAAGCATTTTTAATATTGTAATATAGAGCATTTGGGTTTCCACTTCTTCCCCAAACCATGCTGGTTCTTTTAGCTAAATATCCATCCCTTTCCATGTGTCCCTTCATTTATACCTCACAAGGCAATATCTCAGCCACGGGCCTGATTCCTGCTCCTCTCTCTTCTGAATCACCTCTTTGCTTGGCCAAGGTCAGTTTCTTGTTTGGAGCCCTCCCGCAGGAGTTGGCTGGACCTCACCTACAGCATACTAATCTCAAAAAAAATCTATGGGTTCATTTTTTCCAAATTTAATCCCCAAACCACAAAAGATAGAAAAAATATGCAGTATGAATTAATGAAATATTGCTGAGAAGGTGCTGACCCAGGAGAGAACCTAGAGGTAGAGTGGGCACTTGAAGAGCTTACTTCAGATACTATGTGATTGCCAGAGACAGCCCAAAGCTTGGTTCCAAGGAGATTGGGAAGACTAGCCCAAATCCTTCAGCAGACAGTGTCAGAGCCCAGTTCTTTTCATTTTCCATGAGGTCTGGACTTTGCTAGATCCATCAAGAGAATACATTCTTCCTGCTTATGCAAGCTGCTTCTTGGCCCATTGCAGTGTTTCCAATACAAAGTTTTATGATAAGATGCAGGCGCTCATGTATCCCTGCCATCTCAAGGATTCTGTTTCCCCGTTAGTTTTATGATAAGATGCAGGCGCTCATGTATTCCTGCCATCTCAAGGATTCTGTTTCCCCGTTTGCAAGCTAGGAATCCAAATTTTACCTGCCTCATACAGTCCTCCTATACTTTGAATAAGATAATGTCTGATTACAGGGCTAGGACCAGATATTTTGGCCACTTAACTCCTGCTCCTCTCTAAGTTTTTGAAAAGCGAGCAACGCAGCCCCGTGGGAAGTGAATATCGTGTTAAGTGAATGGTTGTATGACCACGTGATTCTCCCTTCCTCTCTCTGTTTGGGAACTGTGCCACCCACAGTGGGCTGGGTCTTTCCATATCAACTTAATTAAGACAATACCCCAGAGAGGTGTCCACTGACCAATTCAGTGTGGACCATCCTTCATTAAGATGCTTTCCTGGATGATTTTAGATTGCATCAAGTTGACAATTAAAATTAACCATCACAGACTCTAAATCTACTCATAAAAGATAAGGACTCTTCCTCACAATGATAGAGTACTCGCTTAACATGCACAAAGCCTTAGGATTGAGCCCAGGCAATGGAATTAATCCCTGGGGAAACGCTGATTCAGTGGGTGTCTCTGGATATAGCTCATCAAATTAGTAAGTTATCACATGGAGACAGAACAGAGGAAGACAGAGAGGCAATTAATTACACAGGGGAAAGGGCCTGAACATTCCTTCCTCCTTCCTGTTCTACATTAGGTAAAAAGGACGTTCCACAAAGCTTACAGTTTAAGGAAATCATATGTATTTAAGGTTTTTCATATAGCTGTTACCAGCCTGGGCATGGTGATGCAAGCCTATAATCCCAGCACTTAGGATGCAGAGACCAGAAGGCAGCAAATTCAGTTTCATCCTGGGATACTAAGTGAGATCAAGGTTAGCCTGGGCTACACTGAGAAAGCCTGTTTCAAAAACAAAATCTAAAAAAAATACGGTTGTTATTACTTTAATATGAATTAGTCTTCCAAAAGAATTTTGTGTTTGCACATGTCCTAGCAGTTTAGGAAACTGTTTTGTCACACTTGTTATCAGTCGTGTTTCATCTCCGTGACACAGGGCCTGACATAAACAACTCAAGGGAGGGAGGATTTCTTTTAACTCGTGCCTTCAGTCCATCTTGGTCAGGAAGGTGTAGCAGAACAGAGCTCCCATCATGGATTGTTTTCTCTTTAGTCTGTTTGGGTCTCCGGATGGTACTGCCCATGTCCACGGTAGACTTCCTGCCCACTAGTTGTTTCTCTCCAGAAAAGCCCTCACAGACACACCCACAGGTATCTCTTGCCAATATTCTAGGAGCTTTTCATCCAATCAAACTGACAAAGATTAACCCTCTCAACAATTGTGTTTTTATTTTACGTCAAGATGGGCTTTACTTCAGTGATTGTATTAAATATTTATTTAAGAAAACACTTCCCACTTAATAAAAGACAGTACTTGCTCCCCCTTCCATCACTAAAACCCCATAGTTTACTGTCAACATTTCCAGCTATATACATGCGTTGTTTATATTTGTTAATTTTTAGGTGAGGCCTAAGATTTTCGGATGGTCTTTGTGCCTTCCTGATCCTCCAAATATCTCCTTTTAATTTTATATCTCCATGTTCTGATGAGCAGGGAACTACATGAGAATAGTTCATTCAGCCTGTACTGCCCAGAACATGTCTGTATTGAGAAGTAATAATAAGTAACCCAACTCTTAAGTATTTATAGCTCTTATAGAGCTCCTTATTTTCCTCCTCCAAATCTCAAAGATAACAGAGGGAAAGGGGAAATCTTTGAGTAAATTGTCTACTCATGATGTCTGAAAAGTGATCTGTTGGGGTTATCTAGTGCTTTCCATATATCCATTCCCTCAACTCTCTCCACCTCCCCCTCAATTATGAGACAATTTAGAATACAAGAGGACACAGAACATGGCATCCTAGCATAGTGCTAAGATATAAGTTTTCAGCCTTCCTATTTTCAAACATTGGATGTACCAGTCTTTATTCTTCTGACTTTGGAAAACACTCTTGACCTACTTGTGTCATCAATTAACACCCCCAAAATTGGGGCTGTCAACAAAGCATCTTTGTTGTATTGTAGGAATTAAAACTACTCAAGCTATGAAAACTACTGTATCTGGGACATGGGAAATATTTTAAAAGTTAAAAAAAAGTATTACCTAAGATCAATAGTGATCATTTTATTTCCTCTTGCATTGTGCAGTATTCTCCAGCAGTCACATAATACTTCTTTTTCCTCTGTTGCCCAGCTTCTTATGTGAAGATAGACACTAGGATCCTAGAGGTCCCAGGGATGGAGGAGGTACAGCTTACCTGCCAGGCTAGGGGTTACCCCCTGGCAGAAGTCTCCTGGCAAAACATCAGTGCTCCTGCCAACACCAGCCACGTCAGGACCCCTGAAGGCCTCTACCAGGTCACCAGCGTTGTGCGCCTAAAGCCGCAGCCTGGCAGAAACTTCAGCTGCGAGTTCTGGAATGCTCACACGAAGGAGCTTACTTCAGCCATCATTTACCCTCGGAGTAAGTGTGGCCCCCCACTCCGTAGCTCTGTCCATTAGAGCTCAGGCAGAAACAGTGCGCTCACATGAGCCCCTCTTCATGAAGCCAAGGTAGAATCTAGAAGAGCTACAAGGACAGAACAGGACAACAATCTCTACTGTTGAGGGAGAGTTGCCACAGTTGGAGAAGGCAGCTGTGGGAGAGCATGAGGAGTGAGCAGCTTGGAGAGCTGAGGTGAGCAGCTTCCGGGAGGGTAGTACATGAATGACAGCTACCCCAGCCATACCTTAGGTCCCCCAGTCTTCTGCTAGTGTTTCCCATTGCCTGAATCCAACAGGAAGTCAGAGAACAAAGATGTCTACCCACTGCTCAACATCTGGGGTGTCAGAACACAGTGTTACAGGTACAAAACAGATCTGAAAAAGCAGTGGAAATGTCCAACATGATTCATGACCAGAGCAATACATGAGGAGGATGGATGTTTGTCTGGCTGTGCTGCCGGCTAATTGACTGGCCATGCTAGCTAGCTTTAGAAGTGGATCTCATCCTTTTGAATTTCTGCACCTGCAAAGTTTTAACCTATTTGTACAAACTAACAACTTTTTGTGCCAGGGGACAATATTCGTTTGATAACTAAAAACCATCAGCTAGAAAAACAATCATCTCATAAGAGACAGGAAGTTTTTTCCCCCCACCATTTATGCATTTCTTATTGAATTGCCACAAATGTAATGACCGAAAGCAACACAACTTTAAGGTCTTATACTTCTGGAGGTTTCACTGAGTCCTAGTCAAGGTGAGTAAGGGCTACAGAGGTTCTAGGAGACATTCCATTTTCTTGCCTTTTCCAACTTCATCGGATGTCTATACTCCTTGGCTTCCTGCATTTTCAAAGCCAATAGTCACAGCCCTCTGCCCCTTTTATCAGTCTCATCCTCTGACTCTCTCTCTTTTGCTTGAAACTTGGGTTTCATTAGATGCTTTCACTTATAGAAATATACGTCCAAACAGGTTTGTTAGTATAGAAGTTCAAAGGATGAGATCCACCATCAGAAGTAGCTGGCATGGCCAGTCAAGCTCTGAATAATTTAGTAAGAGACCAGTTTTCTTGGAAATGTCACTAGAACCAGTTAGCTGGTACCACAGACAGAAAAACAATATGTCTCCTGCTCAGTTACGGGTCTATGCATCAATCCAGAAATAACTATAGTCCAACCTTTATACTTGATTATATCAGTGTCTTTTCCCCCTGCATGGTTGAGAAATGTCTTAAAGACAAACTAACAATCCTTGGAAGACTTTACGCTGGGAGAGTTAAGAATGGAGGAAAATGGCGGCTCTCTCTACAGGAGCCAACATGGCTGACTGGAGAGTCCACGCCTGTAGGAGTCAGGTTCTCAACAGTGCGCAAGGTCTCCTGATGCACCATTCATGGATGCAACCAGCAGGGAGAGAGAGAAATTTTTGTTAGTTACCCATTCTTCCCAGCTTTGTTTTCATCCTGCTATTCCCTAGAGAGGATCTTTTGAGGAATTTTGGTGTGCGAGTGTGTGTGTGTGTGTGTGTGTGTGTGTGTGTGTGTGTGTGTGCGCGCGCGCGCCCCTTCCCTGAACTTGCTCAAAATGTTGTGGGGCACTCACCAGAGGAGACTGCTTTGATGTGTTTAAGGCAACAGAAAGTATTTACTAGCCGGCCGGCAACTACACTGGGTGTTCTGGATCCCAGTGTAGCTCCGAGCCTTTTTCAGGGTGAGCTTTTAAGCATGAAATCATATTCTGGGTTGACATACTTCAGTTAGTAAAAACAGTTAGTCAGAAGCAGAACTACAGACATACATTTAGAGATTTCCCACAACTATGGACTTTGATAGATCAGGTCTTTGTTTCAAAGTGCTCTCTATGTCCTGAGTTGTTTGGCCTGGATGGTGTTTCCATCGTGGAAATCAGTTGTGCTAAGGTCTGGGGCCCTGCTACATTCCCCACTGCCTTAGAGAATAAGTAAAATCGTGGGCTCATCCTGTTTTAGTTTAAGATACAAGGCCCCATGGATAATCCAATCAGAATGAGAATTAAATGTCCAGTTCGTGCCGGTAGAAGAGCAGTGAACCAGGCAGACCAAGACAACAGAAACTGGTATCAGTGACCTGATTTATGTCTTCATCTTTTTCCTTTTTGATGTATTCCCCAACCATGGCAAGACTTTCTCTAATTACTGCTGATCAATTAGCATGAAACAATAGGTTCTTCCCAAAGCTAGCCATAGTTTCCTTGATCTCGTGAGAAGTAAGTCTCACCCTCTCTGGCTTTGCAGGACCGTTTCTGCAAGGGAATCTAACTGTTGTTTTAATTGAGAAATGAAACCTTTGCCTACCTCCAGGTCCTGATCAACATGTCTACTTAGTTTGGAAAAGATCAGAAGAGGCATATTTAGTCAAATCATTACCATATGCCCACAAACAGTCTCAGGGGTTTGGTAATATTGCTGTTACCCGGATGAATTAACCCGTAAGGCAGAACAGCAGCATCTGAATAAGGGAAACTGCCTATGTTAAAGGTTTTGGGTACTAGGCAAGGTTCAAACATTGTAAGCCCTCTCATAGAATTTGCATTGTTCCCAGTCACAGTGAATTTTGTCAGTCCGTGAGAAGTCTGTTTTATTCCTAACCCTATCCAGTACGGGGCTGGGTCTCTAAGCGTAACCAGCAATCCTGACCGATTTATGGCTGGGAATGATTCACTCTATCCCCAGGCTTCCTTCCTGTGGCATAGAATCTTGATACCACAGGTTTCTTATGTTTCCAAAAGATTTCCAGAATCTTCTTAAAGAAATTGTTTCAGGAAGCCTCAGTTTCACGACCCCAGTTTTTGAAATTGAAAACTCCTTATTCCCTGGGGCCCAATGAAACCTTAATTTTAACGGGTCATAATCCAGGAGACAGTCTGCTTGGCAGTGGCGTTTGGGCTTCCAGTTTTTTGACCTGGGCATGGTGGATCCATGGTGTAATGCCAGCTACTATCACTGCTGTAGGAGTAGAGAAAGTCACCAGGCAGGATCCTTTCCAGGTTGTTTCAGTGCCCCTTTGGCTAGATGCTTGACTCAGATAGTATCAGCAGACTGAAACAACTGGAAACTGGAGGTAGACTTGGAAGTTGGTTGGGTCTCTCTGATAGTCCAAGACTGGAGGGCCTGTAGTGACTTAAGAATGGCATAGTCAGAGCGGGAGAGATGGCTCTGTGCTTAAGAGCACTGTCTGCTCTTCCAAATCACCCAAGTTCAATTCCCAGCACTCACATGGCAGCTCACAACTGTCTGTAACTCCAGTTCCACGGATTCTGACACTTTTATACCGATGCGCAGAGAATAAAATTAAATAATAATAATAATAATAATAATAATAATAAAAAGAATGGCATAGTCAGAGTTCTGCCAACTGCTGGTCTCTGTGCCTGGAAGCTGTGGGAGAGGCCTGCCAAGCATCATCTCATAGGAAATAAATCCCTCCCTATATGGGGTGCAACAGGTCCAGAGAAAGCAAAGATACCCATCCACCCTTCACTAGATTCTAATGAGAGTTTTGTAAAAGTTTCTCTTAATGTCCTGTCCAGAACTCTGAAGTCTAAATGCACATTGAAGCTTTCAATCTATGTCTAAAGCTTTAGCTATTTCTTGAGAGGTTTTGGCTATGAAAGTCAAGCCATTGTCAGACCCCATTGCTAGCAGGAGGCCAAAGCAGGGGACCAGTTCCTGGAGGAGCTTTTGAAGTTACTATTTGAACAATATCAGTCCTGGTGGAAATGCTTGTAGCCACTTAGAAAACCCAGTAAGTAATGGTTTTGATGTTGGTAGTGTTGTTTTTAACTTCCCCTGGCAAGCTAGATCTTGGTGAAATCAGTTTTGCCAGGTTTTGGGGTGTTAGCCTCTCATTTGGACCCCTTCCTGGGAAAGGCTTCTCTGCTTTGGATTTGCTTGAGCACAAACCTGGCATTTGTCTGAGACGACGCACGCCAGGCTGTCTAGTCTAGGTGTAGAACACCTTGCTGAACAACCCAGAAGTTTTGTGGAACCCACATGCGCAGCCTGATGAAGGCCAGTTCCCAGAGTCCTGCCAGTTGCTTCTGAGAGAATGATCTTTCCCTCTACTGTCCATCAATCTGTGGTAAGATGTCCATTTCTTCTTTAGCCAGGTCAGCAGTGGGCAGGAGGGTGGAGATTCATAAGAGAAGCTAAATAGCCACTAGGAGGGCCAAGATTTTCTAATGTCCTTTTTCCCAGCAGTGAGAAGCCCTCTTTCTCTATAATACATGGACAGGCGCAGCAGTAAAAGCATAGCTGCTGTCTGTGCACATGGTGGAGGACTTTCCTTTCTCTCCCACTGGGTCAGATTGCTTAGTTCTGCACGCTGGGCTGAGGTACCTGGTTGGGTCCAGATTATTTTAGTTAAATTACTGCAGCTCTCACCACTGTTCTCATCTTCCATCTCCTGACAGTCATGAATGAGCACCTGTGGGTTGTCACCAGTCAAGAGGGTATCAGGATTGACAGTGGTGGAGTTTTTAAACTGGACTCCGGGGTAGTGCAGGAGTAGGGCCTGCTACTGGGTCACACAGGCGTTAGACAGCCAGAGTCCATGCTCCCAAAGGAGGGTGTCAATACTGTGGGGTGCTATGAGTATCAGATCCTGATCCAGAGTTAACATGATGATAATGATGATGATGATGATGATGATGATGATGATGATGATGATGATGATGATTTAGACTATCAGTAACTGCCATAGGTCTTAGATAGATGGGCCATCCTGTAGCTACAGGCTCTGGTCATTTAGACAGGTATGTCACAGGGCGTTTCCATGGCCCCAAAGTTTGGGTTAAAAACCCCTTTTGTCTTCTGTTTCATGGAGACACAGATGAGAAAGTTTTGAAGCATCTGGAAAGTCTAGGGCTGGCGTGGAAGTCAGAGCTGTTTTGAAAGCCTCAAATGCCTTTTGTTTTATCTGAGTCCAGATTAGGGGCTCAGTGCTG